TACGTCAGGATATTAGAGATAACGACGATAACAACAAAAGACTGGGAAATCTCATGAGTCGATGCGCAATTGATATGTGGAATCGATGATATTGCACTACAGTGTGAAACCCGCCACTTTCTATGCGTCGATACTCAACTGAAACCGGGCGGATTTCACGCACGTGTAGTATAAAATCCTGAGCCTCATCCTCGCTGACAAACTTGAGTCTGTAAGGACTCTGAGTCTGACTCTGAGTTTTGAGTCTGAGGACTTGCTGGCTGCATGCATTCACGTTGGAATGCAGAATAATCGTCACAGACAATCATTCAGAAGGGACAGTCTCGATAAATCCAGGGAGACTAATTTAGTCAGATATCAAACGAGTACTGTCTTACATCAAGTTCACAATAACGTATTGTCTGAGGTCGACAACCTGGAATAGTCGAGGATTACGTTTGAAGATGAGAAAAATCCTCAAAACGAAGGGACTGTGATAGCTGAGAGCCACGAAAGTGCTTGGGAAATTAAATCAGAGAATCCAGATGCTATTGGTCCTGTGAGCATTGACTCTTACGACTCTGTGGAGAGATCAGAGCAAGTGCTGCTGGAGTTCTGCATAAAATCGAGCTCTGGGAATGTAGAGACGATTGGATTGAGCGAGCCATCGGATCCCTCTGAGAATGGAGATACAGCTCAGACTGATGGATCAGCAGTATCAAAAACCAAGAAGATTTCTTCAGATATTCCACTGGAAGACGTCCACGAGGACGAATATCGACGTCAGCGAGATCCAGATGCTATGATTGCTTCGTTAGATCGTCTGACAGCGACTCTCGTTCAGCAGACTGAAGCTATGAGAGAAGGTGAATTATCAGCGATGAAGCAGAGCATCCAGAGTGACACCTGGAATGAAGACTCCCCAAACGACAACTCATTTCTAACAATCAGCATGAGTGTTCCTCTAGTTGCTTCCTTCAAGAGTTATACTGAGGACACGCAGACATCAAAAATCTCCTATAACGATCACAGCAGCATGACAACATCAAAAATAAACGAGCAAGAGGCATTCAGACTCGCTGAAGCTGTCAATACTGTGTTGAGAGTAATGAGTCTAACGAATCACGATCTCGATTCTATAAAACCACCATCAACCATGAACAGCTTGATATCACTGACCAACAGCTACGCAGGTCCTGAAATTCTGGATAATCCAGTTATTCGAGATCACACAACATCAACATCTCTTCCATCAGCTCTTTTCAAGACTCGAGGTGGTAGAAAAAAATCATTGCCTGTTGGAATAATGGCTAGACGAGCACTTGGACAGACCCAGAGTCAGAGTAATACTGAAGAGTCCCAGGAGGGAACATCAGAGAAAATGCAGACGATGCTTGAGAAAAATGCTAATTTCGTTCTTCATACCCTCAGTGAAACTAAAACAGATGAATCACTTCTGGATTATGAGACGATTAGTTTAGTTTCTCATGAGTCTGGTGCTGAGATAAACCTAAAGATGCGATTTGAGGATGGATTGGGCAGGAATTTCTCGACTTTTGTGAAGAATAAAAATAGTCAGCCCCTGGAGGTGGAGAAGGAGACGTGGAGAGTTGAGGAAGTTCAAGCGAGTGAGGGTCAGCCAGAGGAGCAGGAGCGCCAAGGAACGTTCACCAAGGACGAGCAGAGGTGAAAAATTTGGGGATAAAACTGATGGTAAATGTGGCGGTGGCGTTCTCAGGAAGCAGAAGAGCGAGGGATCTGATGCTGATGCCAAGAGGATATCTCGTATAGAAATTACATTACAAATTATACAACGATAAAAGATTTATTTTCATTAGCAGGCTTAACTTACAACAAAAATTCTCGAATTTCGGCAGCAATATCCTCGTGCTGTCATTTTGTACCAACACATTTTACCATGTAAAAAGGTAGTTGGTGCAGAGTCAAATTATCATTGAAAATTGATTGACAGGCATAGCATAATAACTGTCTAATCTGTTCATACTTAATATTATCATTAAGTGGCTGTATATTATTACATCTGCAATCCTGACACCTATACTATTGTACATTTTTTTTATTTTCTGGCGATATTTTCATCAATTTGTCCAAATTCCATTCACCGTTTACACTCTCCGCAGATACAATTTTTGAAAAGTTTTTAGCATCAATACTTGAAGTTAAACCATCAATGGGAATCGTATCTAGACCAGGGCTGGGCAAACTCTGCTCTGAGAGCAAGTCGTGCTCCTGACCTCTATTAGTGCGTAACAAAGGGTAGACGAAATCCCATTGTATCGGGTGATGGGCCTTTATGACCCAGGTCGTAAAGGCCCTTCTCCTCCGCTGAGATCAACCGAAGTGGGGGTGACGCTTAAGAAAAGGAAAAGAGGAGAAATGAGACTCAAGTGAAGGAAAAGCAGAGAAATAAGTCGATGAGAAAAATTTCAATTTTTTTTCATGTGTGCATTAAAAAATAATCAAATGCGCGACGAGTTTTTCCCTTCCGAAGGATAAATTCCTGCCAGATGCTTCATGGGATACTCCCCACCTTAGTACCTGTGAAGCCCCCACTACTGCCCCCACTATGCTAGTACTAAGACCCTTATTATTGAAATGGTTGTAAACTTTATTGGATTTCTACTTCGAGTTTATGGCTCTGCTCCGAGCTACCTGGAGATTGCCCATGCCTGATCTAGACAATAATTACAAACTATACACTCTTGCTCGGTTGAAATCTTACTTTTATCATTCGGTGTGGCTACATGCACGAGCCACGGGCCCACGGGTTTCAACCCGTCATTGTAATTACAGCGACGGTCATTTTTCTCCGGCAACGGCTGACGCCTGGAAAATCCACGTGGCTTTTAATTACCTAGTCGTAGAAGTTACGGCCTCACGGGTGATTCCAAAAATCCCTAGGTTTTTTTTTTTTTTTTTTTTATTTAATGCTTTAGAAACCCCATTTGGGTTTATTAGCGAATCTACATATCTACATATACTGATTAGTCAATAGATATCAATTGTTATATCTTTAATTCACATTGTTTCAAGTATCCTCCCATTGCTGTCAAAACTCTCGGGTCCAGGCTGATGAGGATGGAGTTGATATGTATCGGGAATTGGACCCATTTCTTCAGATTTTCCATTAGATTTTTCCTTTGTGAATCGAATTTACTGCATTCAAAGAAGATGTGATTTAGATCTTCAGTAGGGTGCCCGCAGGAGCATTTCTCAGAATCGGCTATGTGGATGCGGTGAAGTGAACTGGCTGTATTTACATGATTTGCCCTGGCTCTGTTGATCCAAACAATTTGCTCTCGTTTGAGTTTGCGGAGTTTTGAGAACCAGGGTTTCTTGTTTCTCTTATAGAAATTTGCAAAATACCCCTTGCCCTTGTCTTTTCCTGCCGTCTCGATGATTTCCACTGTGGCTTCGTAGGCTTCTTTTTTGAACGTTTCTCCAAAGTCCGTGTATGGCACTCTGATTATGTCCGGTTCTGAACTGCCTGTAGCTTCCTTTGCCAGTTTGTCAGCTTCTTCATTCCCAGCGATCCCAACATGAGATGGTATCCAGTGCAATTTTAGCGAATGATCCGATTCTGCATTTAGGTGGAATTCTTTATATTTCTTTCGGATTTCGTGAATGTACTCGTTGGTCCTCATGTTTAGGTTTACCTGTTCCAGCGCTTGCAGTGCACTGAGACAATCCGAGAATATATGAATTTTTTTTTCTTGATGCTGGATAGCAATGTTCATTGCTTCGTTGATGGCCATGCACTCTGCTGTGTACACTGACGCCCTGTTATTTATACTTTTGGACAGCCTTATGTTCAATTGTGGGCAGACACAGGCGTACCCCGTAGACTTTCCTCCTTCCACCTTCCTCCCATCCGTGAAGATACAGTAGGCACTGTTGTGAATGTTTTTCCAACTTTCATCCCATTTCTCAGTTATGCTCGTAGCTTTTATTTCCCTGCCTGTTTCGGTGTCAATTGGTATCTCTGTCATCAGGTCTTGTAAGTGATGTGAGTAGAGACTGATTCGCTCTTCTCTCTGTAGCTGATCCATCATCGGTTCGATCTCCTTGATGGATGTTAGTAGGAGTCGATTTTGTCTTTTTTTAATGCTGATTCTTGCTGTTGTGTGATCTTCAATTGAGCTACATATTTGGAGACCTTTGTTACTCATCACCTTGATTAGAAAGTTTTTTATGAGGTATTTTGCTCGTTCTTTTACTGTTGTTAGTTTACTTTCCCCTAGTAATATATTGGTGGGAGTGCTCCTCCTATAGCCCATTATTGCTCTTATGGCCTGGTACTGAATCTTTTCTAATCTGTGTGCTTGATGTTGACAGGTGGGATAGTAAATACCCAATCCATAGTCTAGACATGACCGTACATAGTTTTTGTACAAAATCAGCAAGGTAGCAGGATCAGAGCCCCACCACGTTCCCCTCAGAAATTTGATAATGTTCAGTGCTTGGTGTGTTTTCTTTTCTACCTTCTCTATTTGTGGGGTAAATGTCATTTTATAGTCGATGGTAATTCCGAGGAATCGACATGATGCGGTGGAGAGAATTCTATGGTCATTGATGTAGATCTGTGTTTGGCCAGGTTTCATTTTGTGGGTGTTGAAATGCAGCATGTGCGTCTTTTGCGGAGCTAGCTCTAGTCCCAGTTGTAGTAAGTTCTGTTGTATGGCCTGTATGGCGGCTTGAGTCTCTGCTCTGCATTCCTCAAGATTCTTACTGCTAAAGTAGACCGCCGTATCATCCGCAAACTGCGATATTTTAACTCCTGCTGGGACCCTCTCGGTGATCTTGGAGACGTATATTGAGTATAGAAGCGGGCTGAGCACTCTCCCCTGGGGAACCCCTTTGTGTATGTGCCGTATTTCTCCAGAGGTCGAAGTGATGACTTTTCTTTCGTATGTTAAAAATCGAATGAATTTCAGTATGCTATAGGGACAGTTTATTGCGGCCATTTTCTCAATGAGAATGTCAGAGTTCACATTATCAAATGCCCCTTGGACATCTAGGAACACCGCAATTGTGTGTTTCTGAGTTGACAGAGCCTGGGACACTGAGAGTGACAGGTTTGCCAGGTTGTTCATACATGACGATCCTTTGCGGAATGCAGTCTGTGTATTGCCCAAGTGATTCTGCTGTTCGACCCACCAGTCAAGTCTGTTCTTGGTTATTGTCTCGAATAGTTTGCATATGCATGAGGACAGGGTGATAGGTCTGACTCCTTTTCCGTTTTCCTTGGGTATGAACAGTACGAATTGATTATTCCATGCTTTTGGATATGCCCCTAAGCTGAACATTTCGTTATATAGATCCAGGAGAATTAATTGGTACTTGATTGGTATTTTTTTCAGTATGACATAGTCTATACCATCAACTCCCGGTGAGCTTTTCGTTTTTCTGGATTTCAACGCGATGTTGAATTCTGTATACCCGATGTGTTCCTCTCGGGACTCATTCTCCTGGCCTGGTGTAGTTATCTCAGGATCTGTAGGTGCAAATGGTGGACTAAGTTTGTCCATGGCAGCATCCGTTTGGCTCATCCATTGCAGATTTTCTGTCTGATTTTTTTCC